TGAGCCAATTTCTTTCCTCTGTTGCACGTGCTGACACTAAACTGAGCTCTCGTATGGCTTTTAGTGAATCTTTTAACATCCTCATTCCCCCCCCCCCCCACCAGCCCGCTGTCCATCTGGTAGTGATGGAGAGATAACGTGAGATAGTGTGGGATCACAGGCGACTCAATCAATTCGGCCCTTGCGGATGGCACAATCTCGGCGGGAGTCCTGCCCGAAGGTCGTGACAGGCGCTGCAAAACACAGAAACAGCCTTAAATAAGTCTTCGAGCGGCACACGACCTGTTGTGGCTTTGCACTGGAGTGATGGCGATATTGTCCCTCTCCTCGAGCAGCACCAGGGTAGGCCTGGCGCACGACACGCGTGCAGACGGGTTGCCTACCCCGGGCCCGACAGGCGCCCAGCCCTCACAGGGTGCAGGGCGGCAACTTTTTAATCGCGCCGTTTAGGAGGCTTTCCCGCGGCCCGGGCTCACCAGGTTCAGGCCGGGTCGTAGACTGATGTACTACGGGCGCGGGACTGAACTACACTATATCCTAAACAGGGCGGGTGGCGCTCCGGGACGCGCGGACACCGCGGACACCGCGGACACGCGGGGCGCTGAGATAAGGGTGATAAGGTCGATTTCGTCCTCCGCCGGCCGCCATGATCGTGGAAATCTGCGCGCCGAGCTCTTCGACGAGATTAATCTCGCCTGACAGCAGTGCGCCTTGGCTGCTGCTGAGAGGCCTGTGACGGCGCACAATACAGGTGCTTTCGTTTGGCCGCGCGGATTTTTCGAACGCGGTGGCGCCTTTCCCGCGCGTCGGTCGTCTCTGTGATCGGGTTCTTCTTCTCGGATATCGGGATGAATTGGTATCCCGCTGCGGCCGTAACGATGGGCCGCTAATGCCCTTCCGACTCCCCGCGGGGGTGCTGGGGGGAGGGAGGGGGGTCAGACGCTCATTGAAACGCGCGGGTCACTTACCACCTTCCCCCGCCCCTCGCACTCGCTCACCGTCACTCACACGCTGTCGCTGTTGATCGGATCGTCCGTCTCGCTCGCACCCCTTTGGCGGGGCCGGGGTGGGGCCGCGGCGGCGGGACCGGCGCGGCGCGGCCGGCCGGCGGGTGCAGGCAGGGGACCGCGCGCGCGGGGACCGCGGCCGGTCGCCGCCACTAGGACCGCCGCCGCCGCCGAGCCCAGTCAGTCCCCCCGCGCACCGCGTACGGCCGAGCAGCCCGAGCAGCTCACTGACGTCGCTGACCCGCGCACGCTGCGCACGCCGAGCCGGTGCGCGGCATGAGACCCCAACGACGCCGATCAGCGGCGGGCCGTCAGTGCAGTGCGTGTCGCGTATAAGGGTTTAGCCACCGCCGCCACCCGCGACCGGATAGGCGACCGCGCCCGAAGTCTGTGTCCGGCGGAACGAGACCGCAGGTGAGCTGACCGCCGGCGGCCGGGGACCCCGGTGGTGGTGACCACAGATGAACCGGAAGCGTGCACGCCCCTGCTGCCTGAGGTGCAACCGAGTGTCTGAAGTGAGGTGAAGTGTATGGTCTGAAGACAGGTCACCCGTGTGGCACACGGTTGGGAGGAAACCTGTAGTGTTTAGTCGAGAGAGGAACCACTCTGTGATCCCATGTACAACGGATTTCTCCTAGAGTGCCCCTGGATTAACACGGACTACCCCCGGATCAACCTCCTGGATCACCCCATCGCACACCCAGATTGACACATGCAATATTACCCAAGTCGTTTCTCCCCTAGGTCTTTGTTTTCGTCTGAGTGCAATCATATCAAATCGATTTAGCACGACGACCGGTCGGTTTATGCCCGTGCCCGTTGCCCGTGCCGCCGGGATAAGGTCGTGAAAGTACACCTCGAGCAAACATTTCCGAGGTGGGCACGCCCTCCCCCCTGGTGGGTAGGCAGCGTGTGGGCTGCCATATCGGAAGGATTACGGAGAACAACTGCGATGACGAGTATGTCATGTCGTTCTCGCGAGGGACACGCTCTCCCTGGTGTACTACACTGTGAGTACACTATGAGTACGCCGCGGGGCACACTGTACCCACATGACCAAGGAGTGAGCGGCGGCCTTAGGATGGGTCCAGGTCCAGCGGTCAAGGGCGCCGTGCCGACCCGGCCGCTCCGGCCGCTCCGCCCGTCAGCTGTCGGCGGCAATCAGCGGCCCGGACAGGGAGGCAACACAGGTGTGCCGGCGTGTTCATAGTCGGCCCGGAGAAAGCCGCGGTCGGCCCGGGGCCAGGGGCGGGCCCCGGCAGCGCGCCCGAAGTTAGACTCGCCGGACTGTTTTCTGCGAAATACGCGCGCGCGCGCGTGTGAGTGGGGCCGTGGACACGCGGCACTAGCCGTCGTCGTCCGGTCTGTACAGTTGGGCGACTTAATAGCTGCAATCGGGAGAGCCTGGAGTGGAAACAGCTGCGGTATGCCTTGGACGTGCACCGTGTACCCCTCCGTGCACCAGGCGCGTATTAAGGGGAGGGGCGGTGGGGGCGATCGCCCCCCCTGTGGGCCATTAGATAGCCGCCTAAAGGTAGGCAATTTGACCTACAAAACCCCTGTATGTAGGTAACTTTCGATGCACCGCCCCCCCTGTCCGCCCCCCCTTAATACGCCACTGCCGTGCACGAGGTGCGGGACTGCGCTGTACCGCCGCAGTAGTGGTCGTCGTTGTTAAACTTACGACAGTAGTGACGTCACTTTGACCATTTTCTTTGGTGCTGGATATTCAAACTCTCATCCTCGTCGTGTTTGTTCTCCGACCCCGTGTTCGCTCGGGACTGTCTCGAGATGACACTCAGATATTTGACGCGGAAGGTCGCGGAACCCTAGACGCCGGCGAGCCGCTCTAAAGTGATAGTAGTGGCCGCGTAGTAAACATTGATTGATAAAAAACAAAACAAAAAAAAACATCTACAATTTGAGAAAACTAGAGAGGGTTCATACACGTGTGGGCAATCAGATGCACATTATCGCTGCATCAACGTTTCCAAGCACCTGCCAGAACAAATTATTTTTGGTTAAATGAATTTAAATTAATTTTACTATCGGGGGCGAAAATTCTTCCCCTCTGTCCCTTTCCCCTCCTTTCTTTTTGCTCTCACCCGGCAGCTGGTCAGCTTTCAGCTTGGAGCTTGCAGCTGACCAGCTTGCAGCCTGCAGCGTGTGCAGCTTGCAGCTATCGCAGATTACGCGGGCTGTGGCCTCCCGCGCCACCCTGCAATATGGCTCTAAGCCAAAATCAGGCGTTTTTTGTATCGACACCATGTGGCAGGTGCGAGTGGGGCTGCAGCCCTGGAGCATAAAGAGATAGGAGCTGGCAGTCCTCAAGGGGGAACTGAGATGAGTAAAAAAAGAAAAACAGAAAGGACACGAGTAGTAACTCCGAGGTAACTCCTGCAGCAGCGTGGTGGAGTTACGCCCTCAATCGCTTAGCGGGGCGGGGCTATAGTATGGAGGAAACGACTGACTTGCTGGACTTCCCGTCACCTGGTACACTCCTGCCCCCCCCCCCTCCCCGAAGCGCTTTGATTGTAGTTATCTTTTTCTGTCCGTGAACTTGGATCATAGAGATCGTCAGGAAAGCCCTACTGTTTGCAGCTTGGGAACACTATATATGTATTTTTGAAGCAGACATTATCCTCTTATAATAATTCTTATCGATATCTTAATTTTTCTCTGTGACGACATTCTGTTATCGGCTCAATTATTGTCTTATTTTTCCTGGTGCGGCCATTAACCACCATTGTGAGGTCAAAAACTCAACCCCCTTTGTTGGGCGCGATGACGTGACGTCGCAGGGATTCGGGTCGTTATCTGCCTGATAAAACTTGGCGTCGATTCGTGTCCTGCAATAACCGATGAACGAAACGGCTACAGGTCTCTGGGAGAGTCGACGCCAGACAGGTGTATGACACAATTGTCCCCAAACTTCGGACAAACTCCAGCGCCCTTCCCTCTTGCTGCTACACACAGTCTGCCGGCCTACTGGGCAACACGTGTGTACCTAAAGGTTGTCTGCCTATCAGGAGGAGGGCGTTTTTAGGTCTACTTTTCTGTCAACATCGCAAATTAGGGAACGATTCGTACAACCGACCAAACGATAGGACTGTTTTATGGGCTGATTCGCCCAGCGGCTCAATGAATTCAAGGCTGTGTGGTGGAGGCGCTGATGCTGCTCCTCGAACTCAACTAGCTTCCCATCAAAACACACATTGCGCTCTTTCTCCGCCTCTCCGTCTGACCGTCTCTCTCTGTCTCTCTGTCTCTCTCTCTCGCTCCGTCTCTCTCCCGCCGCGCCCCTCCCTCCTCTCACCACGAGCCCGCACATTGCATTGGGGGGCGTGGCTTCCTCGTCATGACAATGACACGGCATATAACTCCGTCCGCGGTTCGGTTGCGTTGTGCCATCGGGCGGCGGCGCTTCCTCGCCGAGACGAGGTTTCCTGCCGCCGCCGCCAGATGAGTTTCGCACACCGCGCGGCGCGCCTTGTTCGCTTCTCGTTCGAACGACAAAAGATCGCGCTCCGCGCCCACGACGCAGTGACAGGCGGGGTGCAAAGAGTAGCCGAAATTCTTCCAAAAGCCCCCGTCGCTCTGCACTGCACGCGGCTTGCGTGCTGATTTTAATCCAGCCGGATTATGGCGTCTTGTTCTGCCCGGCGGGCCTCCTTCCTAATCAGTCCGCGCCGACCTTCGCGGGCGCCCATGATGCGTCCCATGCCCACTTGAGATGGACGGCGGGCGAGTCTGTAGCTGTGCCTGTTAACTAGAAACTGCAGGATGGCCGAGGTTACTTTGCATCCAAAAACACGAACGTGTAGCAAGGTAGTTTTCCTGACGGATGTTGCCAGCTCAAGCCACGCTACGGGTTCTTACAGAGCGTACGCCCCGTTTTCCTCAGACCCCTTCCGCTATTTACGGGAGCTCGGCGCCTGCGAGATTCAGGGTAGGCCACCCCGCTGTACACGCATGCGTTGCAGGCAGGATGTTGCCTACCCATCAGGCGCTATGAGATGAGAAGCTGTTCACCTCGGCTGAACTTGGCAGTTTCGGCGGACGACAGACGTACTTTCTGGATGATCCTTATGCCATCGATAGCCCCCGAAACGCGCTGGGTAGGCAAACCTGTGCAGCCGGCGGCCTACCCACCCAACACTCCACATAAGTGCAGGTAGGTGTGTAGACACCCTGGTTAGCGTCACCTCGAGGAACGTTCAGTGTGGGGAACATATTCACTACCCACGTCATTACTTTGCGAAAGGGCACACATTCAAAAGTACCCCACCATAGTAGTATACTTTGCGGGGGAGGGAGGGGGGGTCGTACGCGGTGTGCGGTCCATCCACAGCATCCCAAGCTGGATGGATGGCGGCTTCTATCCTCCGGAATGGTCCTCTGCACGGCCGAGGCCCCATTAGCCGGAACCGGTGCATCCCACAGCATCCAGACAAACACCCTGAAGAACGACGCCCCGCCCCGCCCTCGACTGCCTCCTCACTGCGACCGCTCAGCCCACGTGGCCGGGGCGAGGCAAAGGCGAAAGGGTCCAAGAGCCAGAATGCCTCCTTTTCTTTCATTTGTTCTCGGTGACCTTTTGCGGGAAATCCGGAGGCAAGCGTATCGTATGGGGGCCTCGGCAGTGTCAAGCGCGACTCTCGGGTTATTTCAAGGCTGTCCCTCACGATTCCAGTGTTGCTCCCCGGTTGCCGGCCGCAGGGCTGCTCTCTGCACTCTGGGCTCATGGGTTTGCTGGATTGGCCAACCTTTCACGCTCCCAATAATTACGCGAATAACGCTGACAAAGAGTCCTCGTCGAGGTACTCGCTGGCCTCATCGATCGAAACCATTTTACAACTTTGTTTGACTTTTGTCACCGCCCCCGCTCGAGGTCTCGGCCACGGTCCAGTATAGTCGGCATAACTTGACAGTGCCACGCGCCCCTCCCACCGCCCGCACGGCTCCGCACGTTACCTTCCCATTAGGCACGCGCCCCACACGACAAGCGGGCCGTCAGGATCTTCTTTAACCTCCCATACCCACTCCCCGCTGTTCCCACCCCGCTGCCGTTCCATTGTATCGGCCGGCAGGAGAAAACGTTATGGCTGCTACACCTCTCTGTTCGGCCGGCCCGCGAGGGTAATGGAACGGTGGTGATTCAAGTGTCAACGAGTGCTGCCAACGAGACGGCGTCAACAGATGGCTGGCGATATGTGTGAATGCTGCAGCAGCAAAGGCGTGCGGTCGTGTGTAAAAGATGTTTCTTTGTTTCAGGCAACATGGCCCCAGCTCCCTTTTACCCGGAGGGCATGGTCCCTCCAGACGGAGGGTACGGCTGGGTAGTAGCGGCAGCTTATGCTCTTAATAATGTGAGTTTCCACAAAGGGGATTATTTTACTTAGAAGTTCTGCCAAAATCACCTTTTCCATATATTTTTGTTGTTGTTGCAGATTATTATCATACCAATTATGCAAAACTTTGGCCTCGTATTCCGAGACATATTTATTGATTTAGGTATTAGCACCACTAGAATCGCTGTGATAATGAATCTTAACAATGCCTTCGGTTTAGCTTTAGGTAAGCACTGCTCATGTCATCATTTGGCTAACGACCCCTCTTTTTCTGCTATTCAAGAGTCTAATTTATTTTCAGGCTTATTTAATGGACCAATTTTACGAAGGTTCAGCTACCGCAAGGTGGCGCTCTTTGGGTCGTTCCTCGTGTTCGTCGGCGTGGTGCTCACGTCGTTCTCCCGTTCCTTCGTCGAGTTCCTCATCTTTTACGGCATCATCATGTGTAAGTTGTTCACTTATTCCCGTCTAGATCGGCTGTTTGTAGTGAGCCACCCTCCCTCCATGACGCCCCGTGTGTTGCGCGCAGCTGCCGGGTACAACCTGACGATGGCCTCGTTCGCCTTCGCCATCAACACGTACTTCCGCAAGCGGCGCGGCGTGGCGATGGGCTTCGCCATGACGGTGACGGGGCTGGGCCCCGTGTTCATGCCGCTGCTCATCAGCCTGGCCATGCGCGAGTACGGCGCCCGCTCCACGGCGCTGCTGCTGGGCGCGCTGTCGCTGCACTCGGTGGTGGGCGCCTTCCTGCTGCAGCCCGTGCGCTGGCACCTCGTCAGGGAAGGTGAGTGTGCCTGCTATGCATGGTGACCGACCCCACCCGACAGAGCGTGCCCCTGTAACTCGACCTCGCCTTGTGTCCCGAGCTCAGCCCCGGACGAGAAGGACAACGACGACGAGGAGATGGTCGACATGGCGCCCAAGTCCGAGGGCCTCCTGGAGGCGGTGGTCGAGGCGCCCGAGGACGAGGAGGAAGGCCAGGGGGGTGCGAACGGGAAGGGCAAAAGGAAGGCGGAGAAAGAGGACGAGGAGGGCGACGCGGAGGACGACGGTAAGGCGCCCATGCTGTTGCGGCGCCGCTACTCCACGGCGAGCCACAAGTCAGGTAGGCGCCTGGGGGCAGGCAGCCCCTCGGGCACGGCCGGCGGGCGGGCGGCCGCGCTGCTCGGCCCTGACTGACGCGCCTCTGTCCGCAGGCGTGGCCGTGCTGTCCAGGGCCACGAGCCACGAGCACGGGTCGCTGGGCGCGTCCGTGTGGGCTTCGATGGCCTCCATCAACGCGGACCACGCAGACCTGGGCGGCAGCGTCCTGGCGCTCAACGTGGACGAGAAGGCTGCCAACAAGTACGTGCAGGAACCGAGAACAAGCTTAGCGGAGCATCGAGCATCGAGAATCGAGCTTCTAACACTCTCTGTCTGCTTCCAGCGGCAAGAGCAACGGCCACCACAAGGCCGAGATGAACGGGAATGCGAAGCTCAAGGACGCTGACAAGAAGGACGACCTGCCGACGTGGCGGCGCTGGATGCGCGCCGTGGTGCTCTTCTTCGACCTGGACCTGCTCCGCGACCCCGTGTACGTGAACCTCATGCTGGGGCTGTCGTTCGCCGTGTTCGCCGAGATCAACTTCTCGCTGCTGACGCCCTTCATCCTGGGCGAGCGCAACTTCGACACGGACCAGATCGCGCAGCTCGTCTCCATCATCGCCGTGGCCGACATCATCTTCCGCTTCCTCGCGCCCTTCGTCAAGAAGGTCTGCAAGCAGCCGGTGCGCGTCATGTACATGATCGGCCTGGCGCTGCTCATCGCCACCAGGACGGTGCTCATCTTCTGCTACTCGTACGAGTCGCTGATCGGCGTCATGCTGGCGCTGGGCGTGGCCAAGGGGCTCCGCACCGTCTACTGGGTGCTCGTCATCCCCGACTACGTGCCCATCGAGCGGCTGCCCTCCGCCAGCGGGCTGCAGTCCGTGACCAACGGCCTCATCTTCATGGCTCTTGGCCCGCTAGTTGGCAAGTTTTTGTGTTTTTAGTTCTCTCAAGTTAGTTTGAAACATGTCCCTAACACCTTGCTACGGTCTGCCACAGGCCTCATCCGCGACCGTTTTGGCAGCTACAACTACGTCATCATCACCGTCAACTGCATGACGGCCCTCACCATCACCATGTGGTCGACCGAGTTCGCCATCCTGGCTGTGCTGCGGCGGCGGAAGGGTCGCACCGCCAAAGAGGGCCAGGTCGCCGACGAAGAGAAGATGCTGGGCGCCAAGACCGTCAAGACGTAACGCTAACAGCCTCGTCGAGATCTGGCGCTGCGGGGAGTATTCTCGTCCTATGAAGGGGCAGCTTGCTTTCCGTGATGTGAATGGAATATTAAAACGTCGCACTCAGCGTTCGAAAGAAGGGTCGGGCTAAGCAGCCCTGTGCATGTGCATCGCAGTATGGAATGATTCCGTGACAGTAAGAGGAGCGAAATCGCGTCGACCCTTTTAATCTGTACTTGCTAAAGTATGCTGGGTATGCAATCTAGGCTGCAAAGCCTGCAAAGCTGGCACGTGCGGTGAAAACTGTATTGAGACTTTAATTCCCTCTTTTCCACAGAGATATCAGTATGGATCTCTTTTTGAGTGGGCATTGAAGTTCTAATGGTTAATTTGTAGAAAATGTGACTGGAAACTCAAACACTTTTGAGAGGTATCAACATCAAGTATTGAGCACACGCTCCCTACAGGGTACAGTACTCTGGGGTTCGGCAAGAGCAGAAGTCCAAGAGCAAATATTCCGTCGATCGAGCCGACAGCCACTAAACAAAGAAGTAACATTACTTGGGGGAGCCGCATTTTTGGAAAGGGGAAGGTACGTACGCGGATTGTTATTCGTTAAAAATATTGGCGCATAATAGTGTATTTCGACTAACGGAGGAAGAAGAATAGCGGGTAGAACATGAACGTTACTGATTAGTCAGGAGCTTCCGTTAGTCGAAAAACACCATTGTCATGAGAAGAATAAAGCTTAAAATAGGTTTAAGCGCAAGTCACGCCAATGCGGCGGTAGAGAGCGCTGCTGCGCTGCGCGGCGCGGCGACTTTAGTTCACTACGCGGCGCACTTTGTGT